CAGCTTGCTCATCATGACAGCACCAGCTGGACAAAACATAGGTAGACTATGCAGTACAATACAAATGGGAAACACAAGTACATTGAAGACAACAACACACAGAGAGACACATATTGTACAACATGGCTGAATGGCTACCCCTTGTTGGAAGGTGACCTCCTAACCAATGTCCAGAAAAAATCCACAGAACTGTGAGGTGAGGCTATTTCAAGGGGAATTCACCTTTTCATCCACCTTTCAATCCCTTTTACTTAGCACAGCATTTTTGAGATCATAAAGGTAAACTCAAAATTCCATTAATTTATTTATCAAATCTTTGAAATCTCATCCTTCCTCTAAGAAGCTCAAGGCAATATACACGGTGCTTTCGCACACCCTTAATTTTATTTTTACTTCTGAGGTGCACCAGGCAGTGAGAAAATGATCTGCCAAAGATAAAAAAGGTATTTTAGCTAAGGGCCAATTTAGATGTCTATCCACTTGGGATAAGATGAACACCTTTATACAAGAAAATCCAACAGGATATACCCACCACCATCTAAACAGAAGATGCAAAGCCTCCAATCCAGATTGGAACTAAATCAGAAGAGTTTTAGAATTAAAATCTCAACAATAACCCTTTGTCCAAGGTAGGATGTTTACTCAGAATGCACTAGCAGTTTATGTATGTGTGTGTGTGTGGGGGGTCACTTGCCTTCAAGAACAAATCACATAATTAACATTATGCTTCGTTTTGCTCCTCCCCAAAAGCAGTCTGAAAGATCATCATGGTTCCAAAACAGAGAGACGACTGTGGGTAAAGGTAATGGACTGTGGGGGACATGGACAGGGTGAGCACATACCCAAAGGTCCTAGAGAGGATCCTCTGAGAACATGCTGTCAGAGAGATACCCACCACATTCAAAAAGTCTTACTCCTGAAGCTTCTTACGGTTTGCTTTGACTCCAGCTAGTGCTTCTCCTCCCTACCATATGTTAATTTAATGCAAACATGGTCCACAGGACTCTTGCACCTTCACAAGGACCCCTATGGCTTTGTTCTTATGCCCTTTGCAGGGAGAAGGAAGGAAGGAGGGAAGAGTAAGATTCTTGTGTTCCTGGGCCTCTCTTAATGCAAATTAGGAGAACAGGCCCTCCAAGACCGTTGGGGGGCCAGGGCCCCAAATATTACTCCCTGTGGCAGCACAGCAAGAGGTGATGCGACTCTTTCAAATCAAGATATATAGTATTTAGACATGTAAGGTGATAAACCCCACAACTGTCTCTGTGGGAATAAAAATATAGTAAGAATAAACTACAGTAAATAACAATTTGCTGCTCTTTTATGACACACCCCAAATGTGTTACCTCAAGCAGCCGCCTCATGCTGTTTGATGACAGGACTGGCTCCAGTCTCACCATAGGTTCGAAGAATTCTTTGGCGTCCACACTGAGAGAGCACTTCATGATGGGAAAGGAGGAAAAGAAAGAGGGAACGGTGCACTGTTTCCAGCTTGTGGTCACCATACCCATATTAATTTTTGCACTGCCCTATTATTTGGGTAATGGACAAGGGGGATCCTCCTGTTTGAGAGTAAGGTTTTTTTTCCTAACACTTTAAAATGGTGGGAGTTGGGAATATTTTTGTATTGGATAGTATATTATTGAAACCACACTTTTGCTATAACAGGCTTTCACCTTCTGGTTATATTTTGATAAAGCAAGCTGTAATATAAAATTTCTTTGCAAAAAGTGCCTTCCTCTAGTATTCCTATTCCTGTGCAGTTTCTTGCTTCAGGGGTCTCCTCTTGCCTGTTTAAACCTCTCCTCCCTTCTGCTTCTCTCTCCACGCCAATAATGCCATAGACGCAGTTGCCCTCATACCCTTTCCCCCAGCCCCCTTCTCCTTGCCCTGCCTGACTAGTAGTAGCTCCTGTCTGGTGAAACTGCAAAGAAAGAAGGTACAGTATGTGTGGCAGAAGAGGTGTTGTGGTACAGTGTTGACTGTGTTCCCAAGCCTGGGCCTAGTAACGGGAAGTGGCTATTCTCAATGACAGTAAATCAGATTGGCAAGATTAGAGCCCTCTTGCTGCCTTATCATGAGCTACTTGGGCAGGAGGACAACTTACGGGAACTGGGAGGAAATAAAAGCAATAAATAAAGCATGACTTTTAACATCTGGCCCTTGCCATGGGGTGAGAGGCAGCTGTAGGAGAGGCTGTTTATGGCGCATTCCCTGGCTTTACAGGGCTCCACGGTACAGGGGGCAAGAGGGCAGGACACAACAGCAATGAGTTCTCTTCCCCATGCTGTGTTTGTGTGTTTAAAGGGTGAAGGTATGTGCACAAAGTGGGCCTTCCAAACACTCCTATATGATTGTACGCAAACACAGTTGACCTCAAGCCTTGGGAGTGGCTTACATAAATGCATTACAGGCTGGCCTAAGCGGGCCGGGCAGGAAAGTAAAGACACTTCCCAGCAGCACAAAGAGACAATTAGCACCCATGTGTATTGTGTTGATCTTGTCCCTGTTCCAAAACACCCTGTAGATCGCAAGAACAAGGCCATTGTGTGTCAACCACAAAGAAGAGAAGGTTTATGGAGTGCTCATAAAACACATTTTATGCAGCTGCACAAGGAGCCGAGGTCAGCTCTGTCGTGAAGGCTTGTCACTGCAAGGAAGCCTGGACCCATCTTCCCAGCAGCAGGGTTCACATCTCTGACTTCCTTCCTGGTAGCGGCTGGGTGGGGGAGCACCCCCACTCATCTTTTGTGTGCAAAATGGGCCAAATTAGCCTCTCATCCAGAGATTAGGCAAACCTGTTGATACTTTCCCAATAACCTTTTGGCTGGCTGCCCGTTGGCAGTGTCTCAAACATGGAAGAAGAAAAAGCCTACAGCTGGGAGTATTAGGACTGACTGAAAGAGACTGGAACACACTAGCCCGGTGGAAAGCTGAGTAATCAGACTTCACTGAGATCTGTGGTCTAGCCCCCCCCCCCCCAAGTCTTCCACTCCATCTGAAACAAAGCTTGTGTACATGTGACTGCATTTGTTTGAAGGGACGCATTGTTTTTGTTTTGTTATTTTGTAAACTACTATGTTCACTGAAGAGGCTGTATAATTTTTAAAAATCATTATTTCTCTTATATTATTAATATGTTTGATTGATCTCTTACTTAAGAACAAAGAACGGCTCCCCAGAAATGACAGGAAGAAATAGCAGAAGCAGAGGCAAATTATTTCCCAGAAATTAAAGTTAACAGAAATAGGGATTTGGCAATTGCCAACATGTCCTTTAAAAATATTTAAGGAGTTCCTCTTTGCTTCAGATATCCAGATTCAAGTTATGTTCCTGGCTGTGGTAGGCCTGGCACTGTGTAGTGCAATCCTCCCAGAATGAAGATAACACATCTTATATCATAAGGTATGCATGTTTCCAGAGAGCTGCTGTCAGTGGCATTTTCTGTGAGGAAGATTTACACACTAGATAATTAATTCACTTATGTAATGAAATACATCTGGATATAATTTAAAGTTTTGTTACAATTTAACTTGCAATGACTGAAATCCTGTCGCTTAACATCATAAGTCACAGTAGAGCAGACCCATTAAATCAGCATGGATTTGGGGAGTCAACCCCTCCATAAATAAGTTCCAGTTACTTGAGTGGGCCTACTCCAGTGCAACTTACTATGCTATGCCACAGGATTTCAGCCAATGTCTAGTTTTAAGTAGGATTTCTGGAAGATACAGCAATGCAAAGATAGATGCTAAGATTTGCAAGCTTTAAGGTACAATCCTATACCCAAGATATGCAAACTGAAAGCCCACGGGATTCAGCAAACAAACAAACAAACAACAAAGCAGAGACATCAGCCGAAAACCAGACAAGCTCTGACTAGGGCGATGGAATGGGCCCAGTCTGCTATGTCCAGCCCACCCACCCCTCCGCGCCCCCAGCTGTACATTGGTAGAGAACAAGGAAGGAAACATAACCTTCTGCCTAGACTGAGCAGGAGAGCGATAAGAGCCATTCTTATGATCAAGACAAGCACAGTTTTCCCAGCAGAAGAGAGAGGTCTCGCCATTTATTTATTTTTTGCTTCATCTACTTGTGGGCAGAGCAAAAGGGGCCAAGTGAGAACCCCAAGAACAGTTGCTGCCCCTTCTCCGTTGCTCCCCTCCCCTTTCCTTCTGGGAACTCAAACGGTCCTCCCACCCTTGGATGGGGTGAATAATTCTTTTATGTATTTCTTAGTTACATTTCGGGGGTGGGGGTGGGGGTGGGGGTTTTCTCTTCCCGTGAGCTGAAGGCAGGTTATGTGGCTTTTCTCCTCCCCAGAGCACACCACGCAAAACAGCGAAAAAGCGCCTCTCCCCCTTCTTCCCACGGGCAAAACAGCAGGAGGCTAATAAGACTGGTTGAGCTGCGGACCCAATCCTGCCCAAAGGGAAAGGCACTGAGGCGCAAACAAGAAGGGAAGGTTGCTTCTCGCAGCTCTCTGTCTACCCGCCGTCCACAAGTTGCCGGGCTAGGGGTGGCAGCAGGCTCGGTTTCCCCCTTGCGGAAGGCGCCGGAGAGGAGCAGGCGAGTGGGCCGAAGAGGCAGCCACACCGGCAGGGTAGCCCGACGTGGCTTCCCGGCAACGCCACGACGGAGCACGCCCGTTCCTCGTTCCTCCGGCGCCGCCGAGAGGCAGAAAAGAGGCTTCGCGATCTCTGCCTCCTTGCTCGCTTCCTCGCCTTGAGTTGCCCTTGCGGGGAGCATCATTGGGCAGACTTGAAGGTTGGGGGGGGGACGACGCGCGGAATAAAGTGAAAGAGAGGCGCATTAAAGGCGTTTTGCGCTCCAGCCTCCTCCCCACCACCACCCCCGTCCCGCTGCACTCGACCCTGCTACCGGCCTCTCTTCATGCTTGCAAGCATCTTTTACTACAGTCCCCCACCCCCACCCCCGAATCCGTAATAATGGTCACGAAGCAGAACTACATTCCCCAAAATGCCGTGAAAGAGGCAATGAGAAGCCGGCTCTTCGAGGCATGCTGGGAATAGTAGTCTTCCTTTCTGGGAGGGAAAAAAAGAGGCGCTCCCTTTGGACCCTGCGCCGTCGGAGGGCAGAGTGCTTCCGCAGGGACCGACCTGGCGGCCGTGCTGGCCAGGCTAACCAAGGGGGAAGCAAACCCTCTGGGGCCCGCGGTCGCTCTTTCTGGAGGCCCCTCCCCGGTGGCTTCGCTGACTTCCGTGGGGGCGTGCAGGGCGGAGTCTTCTGCTCGCCAAGTTGGGAGAAGCTGAGGCTACGACCAGCGGCAGCGCGGATGGCCGTGGGTTCAAGGGTATCTCCAGCCTGCCGAAGCACCGGTGCACCCGCCCTGGGGCACTTTTGCCTCAGGGCCAGGACCTCGAAACCTTTGGGCTTGGTTTTTACTGCCAAGGACGTCAAGTCGACTTGATCCAACATAAAGTCTTGGTGGTCCCTGTGCCACCGCTGGGAGCAGAGCTTGGAAATGTTGCATTTTTTGACTACAGCACCCAGAATCCCCCGGAGAGCATGGCCATGGAGATACCAGGGCACTGGTGCCCTGTTGAAGCATCCCGGGCTAACAGATCAGTGTCGGGCGTCAAATGGCCGTTTTGTGCACACAGGGCCCAAGAAGAGCCGGCCTCTGTGCACCAGCCTTGGGGGGTTTTGGTTCCCAGGAGCCCAGGCAAGGAGACGCTGCCTATTTGTGGCTATCCAGGCTTCTCCTCTCGCACCTCGATGGCCCCAGGAGCTGCCGGCTCTTGTTCCTTTTCCTGGGGTGGGCAGCACTCCCAGTTACCACACAAGAAGTCACCCAGCAGAGGTCGAGTGTCATGTGGTGGACCTGCGCAGTGACACAGTGACTCGGCCCAGCCCCAAGATGAGGCAGGCTATGGCTCAGGCCGAGGTGGGTGATGATGACTACGGAGAGGACCCCACAGTCAATGGTGAGTCAGGGCATCCCTGGGCATGTCACGCAAATGGGCCCTACCCGGCAGCTGTTCTCTAGGCTAGAGTTTTGCCTAATCCCATGCATCAAAGACGCTCCTCTTGATTCAGGGCACCTGCAGAACCAATCTGCCCCATGTGGTAGGATTTTAACTTTTTTAAATAGCATCTGCCCAGAGGAACAACTTACCATTAGAGAGAAGACAGAAGAAGGAGCTACCTTGACAATTTCATGGGAAGTCAGGATACCTATTTTGCTAGAATCATACTTTTTTGGTGGTGGTGTACAATTGTTCCCTGTAACTATAAATGACAATTGATGAGTTCCTGTATGAAGGATTCTTCCAGGGGTGGCATCAACTCTTGCAAAGCAAAGCAAAATGGGCTTCTTATGTGCTCCTCTGTAGCATTTAAAGCACTCTCTGGGTGATTTACAAGTTAATTATGCAGGCTACACATTGCCCCCCTCATAAGAACGTAAGAAGAGCCCTGCTGGACCAGGCCAAGGGCCCATCTAGTTCCTGTCTCTCACAGTGACCCCACTAGAGGCCTCTGGGAGCACATGAGACAACTAGAGACCTCTCTCCTGATACATCTTCCCCCTGCATCTGGCATTTGGTGGTCCCTTCCTTTTAAGCCTGGAGCTGATACATCCCCATCATGGCTTGTAACCTGCAATGGACTTTTCCTCCAGGAATCTGTCCAATCCAGTTTGAAAGGCATCTAGGCCAGATGCCATCAGCACCTCCTGTGGCAAGGAGTTCCACAGACTAACAATACGCTGGGTCAAGAAAGATTTTCTTTTGTCTGTTCTCATTCTTCCAACGCTCAATTGGAGTGGATGTCCCCTAGTTCTAGTATTGCATGAGAGAGCTTCCCTCTATCCAGTTTATTCATCCCCTGCATAATTTTATACATCTCAATCATGTCCCCCCCCAGGCACCTGTGGGTGATCACAGAACAAAGGAAGGCTAATTGCCTTAGAGAGACTAAAGGAGTCGACAGCAGACTGCCAAGTCAGTGCAGCCCACTGGCAATGCCCTGAGGGCTCTTTTATTGACAGCATGATTACATAGTATGTTATGAGAGAAACAGATAGGATACTAGTTACCTAATCGTAACTAGGGTTGGCTAAAATAACTCTTAGATCTTATGCTGTACCTCTAAGTAAAGGGGCAGAATAAGGGTCTACCCCACCTGCGCATCCTGCCAGGAGTGTTTGCACGTCACTGGAACAGGTTGCAGCTACAAACTTTAAGCAGAAGTTTCCCACAGGCGCCTTTTCTTTAGACTAAAGAGCCCCAAGCATTGTAGCCTTTCCTCATAAGGGAGGTGCCCCAGCCCAGTCATCATTTTAGTTGCTCTCTTCTGCACCTTTCCCAGTTCCATGGTGCAACAATTAGAACTGTATGCAATACTCCACCAGCGTTTTGTACAATGTAATCATAATGTTGGCTGTTTTATTTTCAATCCTTTTTTTAATGATACCTAGCATGCGTCTGGCCTTCTTCACTGCCACTGCCCACTCCCATGAGCTTGGCGCTCAGTTTACTGACCTCAGAAGGGTGGAAGGCTGAGTCAACCTTGAGCTGGCTACCTGAGCCCATTGGGATCAAACTCAGATCATGAACAGAGTCTTGACGGCAGTACTGCAGTTTAACTGCTGTGCCACCCAACCTTGTATTTTGAAAAGCTTAGACTAGCAACCTTGTCCAGGCAGAGCTTAGAGAAATTACTTTTGGAGGACCTACAACAAGAACTTTTCTAAGTAACTTTTTTTTCTAAGTGACTAACTTTTTCAATGTAACTTTTCTAAGTTTTGGTTCCAAGGAATAAAATTCATTCACTTACAGGTTTACTTGTATTATTCTTTCCATTGTAGCCAGAATATTTAATTTATTTATTTAATTTTTTTTAACCTCGCCTTTCTTCTTAAAAAGGACCAAAGGCGGCTTGCATCATTAAAAGATAATCTTAAAGCTAGTATGGGGAAAGTAAAGTAAATGCACCAGGGGAAAAGCGAGACTGGTCTTTGTGAAAAAAAATCAGGTAGTAATTTTGGCCAGAGTATCCTTGGGGAAAAGGTCTTCAGAACCTTCAGTGCTCAAAGCTGCTGCTTCTGCAAGCAAGCCTCCAGTTGTGACTTTGTCAGTACAATGCCACACATCTCAAATCCTGGGCGTGCTTCCCCGTGTGCTTGTTTTTCCCTGCAGAGCTGCAAAGAGTGGTGGCTGAGCTCCTTGGAATGGAAGAGGCGCTGTTTGTTCCTACAGCCACCATGCCTAATCTCATCGCTGGTGAGTCCCAGAACAGAGCTGGCCCTCCAGATGTCACTGATCCCACCCTCCTTTCCTGCTGGAGCTGCTGGCCAGTGCTGATGGGAACGGTCATCAAACAAGACATGTTCCCCCCACCCTATCTGTTCAGAGGAGTTGGGCTGTAGCAGAGAAAGAGAACCCTGATCCGGGAGGGCAGCTGTGCCACTATGATTATTTATTAAACATTCCGCATTTTTAGAGTGCAGATCAGTGTGCGTGGCTCTGGCTAGAATAAAGATAGAAATACAGAGCCCTGTCCCAAGGAGTCTGCCCTAGCCTCACACTTACAAGGCAGAGCAAAGGAACTGGGGAGACTCTATTAAGCGTGGCAGAGCGCTCTAGTTGTGGTAGATACCAAGAGTGATGAAAGCAGGAGGAAAATGATCGCACCTGCAAATGGTCGTGAGAGGCCCCCGTTCAGTTCTCTTGTTCGCTGATCTTGTCTCTCTGCCCACAGAAACTCCTCTTCTGACTTTTTTCCCCCTTCTCTTGCTGTAGTCATGTGCCACTGTCGCAGGCGAGGAGCGCAGGTCCTGCTGGGGAAGGAGGCCCACATCCATATCTTTGAGCATGGAGGGATCGCACAGGTAAGTGGCACAAGGTGACCTCCTGCAGTGCCAGCCTTCCCCTTTGTACAAATCCACTATTCATCGCTGGTGCGTGATTTTGTTGCAAGGTTCCCGTTTTTTAGGTGGAGGGCATAAGGCACCACAAGAGGGGATCATGGAGGGGAGGGTCCTGTCGTGCAGAATAACGTTTCCATTTCCATCTTGCTTTTTTATATCACATCACAATGAACCATACATGGGAGGGAACTCAAAGGAACTGTTGAATCCTCATCCCACAGAAGGCGATAGTTACTTTTAGATGAGGAACATATTTCTGAACAAGAAACCTACCACCCACCCACCCCGTTTCTTGAATATTGCAGATAGAACCTCCACGAGAGATCAAAAGCCCCTTGTTTCCCTGTTTCTAGGAGAGAGGCCGGGCGATAACAGCGATTAGGGCAGTGGACGGGAACTTGGAACTTTCACCCTCGGTGGAACCTTCTCACAAAGTTGCCGTGCGAACGGAGAGGAGAGTCATGTGCCTTGCCTTGAGCTCTCCGAAGAAAGGGCCGGTTGCAAAAAGGAAAGAGCACCACCAATAATAATGATAGTCATCATCCTCATGAGTGTTTGGATAGGACTTATTTGGGAGAATCTGAAGGGGAATTGCAGAGGTGTGTCTGCTCCACGTGCAGCATCAAGGCTGAAAAATTATTCCCAGTGGTGTCCAACAAAGCTACTGAGTTTGGAACACCCACTTAAGGCAACCTGCAAATGCAGATCTGCGATGGATTAGGGTAAAGGACCTGTACTGCTGTCAGCAGCAGAGGAAGTCATAAAAGGGGCCTAAGGACATGTTGTGATTTGTCAGTATTTTAGCTGAATTCAGGTTGACCCTGATTTATTTTTGTCTGTCGAGAGAAAAGCTTAGTCATGTTCCTCCCTCTAGTGTCCATTGGGACACATTGCATCCTTTTCTCCTAACCAATAGTCACGTTCATCCAGAGCTTAATGCCCAAACATTTCTTTGTGCAAAATCCAGATAACTTTCGGCATTTAGGAAGACAGTTCCAGTTTACTGTAGAACCAGCTTTGGGGGGGAGGAGGGGTGTTCTTCCTTTCTTCCTACAGATTGTCTCATCTCTTAGGCCTGAAATTGCCTCCCAGAATACCTGCAACTGTCCACCTGCTGCCGCTGCTTCTTTTTGTTTCTCTCCTACCAAAGGCTGGACATCATCCTGGCTCTTTTGCCTTTGGATGCAGTAGCCCTAAACTGTGGTGTTGCACTGCATCCAGCCTCCAGAGACCTTCAGCCCATTCCTTACTTTTTTTTGCCACTTATTTTATCACAGAATCATAGAAAAGTGAAGTTGGAAGGGGCCTACAAGGCCATCAAGTCCAACCCCCTGCTCAGTGCAGGATTAGAAATCAAAGCATATCTGCCAGGTGATTAACTAAGTTTTTCTTGAATACCTTCAGTGTTGGAGCACTCACCAACTCCTGAGGTAACTGGTTCCACTGTCACACGTCACTGTCAGTCACTACCCACAACTGCTCTAACAGTTAGGAAATTTTCCCTGATATTCAACCGAAACCTGGCTTCCTGTAACTTGAGCCCATTGTTGTGTGTCCTGCACTCTGGGATGATCGAGAACAGTGTTATCTTGAACAACCAGCGGTAATAATATCAGGCAAAACCAAAAGAAAAACAAAAAAAAGATAATGCTGTGGCAACTTAAAGACTTACCTGTTATATTTTAATTTAAGCTTTCATGGAACTTCACCCACTTCTTCAGACATATGAGGTAGAAAAAGAGATCACACAGTAAAACGCTCAGAGTCTCTGGGAGGCAGTGGTGTATGATTGCATTTCACACATGCCATGATTTATGACCTCTGTATGGTACTCAGGTCTTTTGAAGTCTGGTTCTGTAAACATTCCAACAAGAGACACGAAAAAAGGCAAAAGCAAAATTTCATGAAGGCTTACATTTTTAAAAAAAAGTCTTTAAGGTGTCATGGCATTTTTGTCTTTTTTATTTTTATTTTGGTTTTGCCTGGTATGCTTGCACAGACTTAACGCAGCTACCTCTTCTAAAACTATAGCTCCAATAAGTGATCCTTTGAGTGTCTCATGTGGCTGAAGTATTTGAACTTCCTACAGTTTAATGATTTCTTGGGCTTGATTTAATTATTTTAGTACTTCTTTGTTGGTCGTCCATTTAATTCAGGAAATTCTTGGCATCATGCAATCTAAATTTCATAGGTATTCTCGAAGGCTTTCATGGCTGGGATCTAATGGTTGTTGTGGGTTTTTCAGGCTCTTTGACCATGTTCTGAAGGTTTTTCTTCCTAACGTTTCACCAGTCTCTGTGGCCGGCATCTTCAGAGGACAGGAGTCAGAACTCTGTCTGTGCTGTGGTGCAGTTTGTTTGGATAGTTGAGTATTTGTAGCTATGGGATCAGCTTCTGTCCTTTTCAGGAGATGGGTGTTTGTGCTGGTCAGCATGTTTTTTTGTTGTGGGTGTATTGTTGTGATAAGAGGGAGAGATGATCTGTCACTGTGATTGATGGGTGTCATTAGCTAGTCTTTTATGTGCAGTGATCACTGGTCCTTGTAGCTGGGTAGTGTTTGTTGACCTTTTTCAGGCTGTATTTTTCAGTGCTGGGAGCCAGGCTTTGTTGAGTTTTAAACTTTCTTCTTTTTTGTTGAAGCTCTGCTGGTGCTTGTGAATTTCAATGGCTTCCCTGTGTAGTCTAACATAATGATTGCTGGTGTTGTCCAGTACTTCTGTGTTTTGAAATAGAATTTCATGTCCAGCTTGTTTTATGGCATGGTCCGCTACTGCCGATTTTTCCGTTTGTTTTAGTCTGCAGTGTCTCTCATGTTCTTTGATTCTGGTGTGGATGGTGCGTTTTGTGGTTCCAGTAAGGAATCCGGTATACTCCTGCAGTGGTGAGGGGGTCCCTTTTGTCCTTTGTTGACCGTAATATTTGTTGTATTTTTGTGGTGGGCTTGAATACAGTTTGTAGGTTGTGTTTTTTCAAAATTTTCCCCATAAATTACATATATTTCTGTCTTTTTCATCATAACCTCTATTTAAAACTACAATTCCATGCCATACAACAGAACAAAGAGTAGATTGTTCTTGCATGCCATAAAATCACTCCCAACTTACAGTGACTTGCTGAACTGGTGAGCTTCAAAATCTCTTGTCAGGAGCCCTACTGAGTTCTTTAAAACTCAAAAAAAAATTGCTATACATATATAGAGTAAGAAATGCCCAATGTTCAAACTGGATTCAGAAAAAAATAAGATAATAGAGATCATATTGAAAATACCCATTGGCTACTGTAGTGTACCAGAGAATTCCAGGAAAAAAGCACTTTGTTTTATAGATTTCAGCAAAGTCTTTAACTGTATGAATTATGAGAAAGTATGGATTGTTCTGAAAAGTAAAAGGAGAATACATAGAACTGTAAAATGTACAGTAATGCCCCGCTTAACGATTACCTCATTAAATGATCAATGTACAGTGGTGCCCCACTTAACAATTAATTACCTCATTAAACAATGAATCCGCTTGACAATGTTTTTGCAATCGCAAAACGATGTTTTAATGGGAAAAATTCGCTTTACAATGATCAGTTCCCTGCTTCAGGAACCGATTTTTCGTTTTACAACGATCAGAAAACAGCTGATCATCGGGTTTCAAAATGGCTGCCCGCTGTGCAAAATGGCTCCCCGCTGTTTTCAGGGAGGGTCTTCGCTTGTACAGGCACTGAAAAATGGCCGCCCTATGGAGGGTCTTCGCTGGACGATTAGATATTTAGCCCATTGGAATGCATTAGCCGGTTTTTAATGCGTTTCAATGGTTTTTTTCCCCACCGCTTGACAACGATTTCGCTCTACAGTGATTTCGCTGGAACGGATTAATGTCGTCAAGCGAGGCACCACTGTATGTTCTCAAAGCCAGTTGCAAGATAGTGGACAGTATTCTGTTCTGTTGCTCCATCAGCATAACTGGAATGATGTCATGGGGAGCAGCAGGTTTACCGACCCACACATTCAGAGCCCAGATATATGGCCTGTCTAGTTGAAGGGTCTATCCACCTGAAAAAGTGACTCAGCTTGAGTCAGACTAAAAGCCTATCTAGTTCAGCCCTGTGTGTCCCCTCCCTGACTCAACCACTTATTTCTGAGAAGCCCCCCCACACGTAAGTACTATTTGCTTTCTAACGTTTGCTTTCTTTAATTAGAGATGAGACCCACCTAATTCAGCGGGCATCGGTTTACAGCAGAGCAAGTGACTTGGGTTGTGGCCATCCAAATGTCGTTGGACTAATGCTGCCATCTTCCCTCACCATTGCCTATATGCTACCTAGGTTTGGTAGGAGTTGCAGTCAAACAACAGTTGAAGAGTCATAGCTTTAATCCTGCTCATTTGGCCCCTGATGGGCCAGTACTGCCTGCAACCTGGAATCTCAGAAGGTCACGTTTTCTTTGCCTCAAAGGTTCTATTCTATTCATAAGGAGGTATTGATTTTCTGCAAGCCCTGAGCACATAATTACTGAAGGTCACGGCTCATCCGGGGACATTATAAAGGAGTCTATGTCTCTGCATACAGAATTTCATTTTCCAGAAATCGGCAATAAATCTCTGCACCAGAGACAGCATCCAAATTAACTTTTAATTTCCTGTTTCCAGAAGGAATCTGTCCTGCACAGATTTCAGTCTTCTTGATGCTGCCGTTCTTACCATTTATCTCTGGAATAGGTAGCTGGAGTCCATTCAGAGACACTGCAGGATCTGCCTGACGGGACCCTGGACCTTGAGGAACTAGAGCATAAGATCCAGCAGGCTCACCGAAGCCAGTACCATCCCCGCCCTGAGCTCATCTGCCTTGAGAACACCCACTGCTCAGCTGGGGGACGGGTGCTACCCCTTCAGTACCTGCAGAAGGTGCGTACTATGAGCTGCCTAGCCACAACAGGTCCATTCTTAGTCCGGCTGCCTCTAACCAGAGAATTCATCACCATCCCTAGATGGATGGGTACCTTTGGTTACTGTATGTATTTTAAAAATTTAAAATTTTTACTAATAAAGATAAATAAAAACAAAACAATAGCACATCTAAAACATTTAGACACCTAATTTTAAAAAAAACATTAAAAATCTACATGCATAGTGCACCCCAACACCAGAACCGTTTGGAAGTAATCACCTATACTAGTAATTCCCAACCTTAGGTAATCCAGGTTTTCTTGGACTGCAACTCCCAGAAACTCCAGCCAGCACAACTGGTGGCGAAGGCTTCTGGGAATTGCAGTCCAAGAATACCTGAGTAACCCAAAGTTAGGAACCACCGACCTATACAATTTACCCTTGTGGAGCCCCCTTCCAGAATTGCTTAGACTCTTCAAGGGGGCTTTATCCCTTTTCCTTTATGAATACAAAAGTGCCCCCATATGTCTGCAAGCATATCTCTGACAGTTACCACCCTATTAACTCTTATATCACATGTAGATTTATCATTGATGACTATACTCCAGACTTCCTTATACCATTCACTTAACAAAGCATTATTAACCTTTTTCCAATTCCTAGCAATAATCCATCTTGCTGCTGCTAGTGAATTGGAAACAAATTCTCTAGTTGTCCAATTACCTATCTCCTTCTCAGAAATGGATAAAAGCATTATTTTAGGACATGCCGCTAAATTTAAATGGCTTATTTCATTTATTTCCTTAAAAATCAATTGCCAAAATTTTTATATATACTCACATTCCCACCACTAATTAAAATATGTACCTGTTTTCTGGCACCCTCTCTAGCCCATCTTAGAATAATGACCATCTATTTGATTAAGTTTCACTCAAGTTAGGTACCGTGGCCAAACTAACATTTAAAAAAATCCTCTCTTTATTCTTTTTTGATATTAATTTCAATATTCTAGTGTTCCATTTATTTTTCCAAGCACTAGAACTTAGTTCTCCCCATCAAATTCTCATCATGATTTAATTTATCCTTCCTGAACTTCTGCTTCCAATAGTATAGTCAGTAACTTATACTGACTATACCCTTCACCACCTTGCTGTCACCTTCGCTTTCCTTTTATAATAGAATTTCCTATTTCTTAAGTTCTCTACATTTACTGTTTCTTTTTATCCAATTTTGTCCGCACTGCTGCTTGTATATATATTACACCAAGATATTTCGTCTTGATATAACACTTGTTGTATTTGGTCATTTTTCTTTATTTTTTTCCAATCCATCTTTGACTCTAAAAGCTTGTTTCATTCATACAGTGGATTTCTTTTTAGGTTTTCTGGGAATTTCTCCAACTCAACACCAGATAATAATGGGGAAACTGGTGGGATGAATAGTTTTTTATATGTATTCCAAATTATTAACATGTTTCTAAGGAAAGAGTTTTCTATTTTTATTGCACTAGGCCTCCTGCATCCATAGGGGATCAGTAACAGGCTCTTGTCACAGATGCCAAAACTACAGATAATAATGACACTATATATAGTGTGGTCTCTGGCTCCCTCTGGTAGCCGGTTCTAGTAACTACATGTGGAAATACATGTGCATCTATTGGATGTAAAATATATACCGTATTTGCCGGCGTATAAGACGACTGAACAAATAAGACCACCCTCAACATTTCCACTCAAAATAAAGAGTTTGTTATATACTCGCCGTATAAGACTACCCCCCCTTCCGCACACCTTCCACACACCAAATAAAAGGTGCTATTCATTGTCACCATTGTACAGCCGCAGCGCGACCGCAGCACCTTCGGCCCGCCCCTGCATCTCCCTGTGACTGGCACTAGTGTGCATGTGTGAGCTCTGCATAGACAAGGGTCAGGCCGGAGCGCCGCTGCTTCCCGCCGAGCAGAACGGGCCAGTCACGTCGAAAAGGCTGGCACCCCTGTCTCGCTGCTGATGCTCGCTGTGGCCGCGTGGATACTGGATGGTATGTAGAATGAGGTGGGCAGGCATTGGGAGGCTACTATGAGCACCGGGCAAGCATCAGAAGGCCACTATGGGCAGCTATGTCTATCCCAACTGAAATGCACCTGGCGTATAAGACGACCCCCCCCACTTGGAGGCATGTTTTTCAGGTCAAAAAAGTAGTCTTATACACCAGCAAATACAGTACTTCTTATATCAAATATTAATGTTTAATATTTTTAATGTTTTCAGACCGCAGATACGTGAAATCACAGTGTGATTTTACCTTGTCCACAGTTTTTAAAGGATTTACAATTGTATTCTCGAAGGCTTTCAGGGCCGAGATCCAATGGTTGTTGTAGGTTTTTCAAGCTGTTTGGCCGTGTTCTAGAGGTTTTTCTTCCTAACATTCCTAACAGATTTACTATTGTTGTTCCTAGGGTTGAAATGCCCATGGGAAAGGCAAGGATGACCCTTCGACTAGGTTCTTCTGCCTCTTACAAATCTTGAAGGTGCAAATTTTCGTTCTTTGTGCAGGTGCACCAGCTAGCCCAGAAGTACGGCTTACAGATACACATTGATGGCGCTCGGGTGCTTAATGCCGCTGTCGCACTGGGAGTGCCGCCAAGTCAGATCGCTCAGCACTGTGATTCCATCTCTTTGTGCCTCTCTAAGGTGGGGACTGGCTCTGGGGATTCTGAAGACTAGGTTTGCGGGTGGGGTGGGGGAAGAGTACAAGCGTAGCACCCAGTGTTTTGCCCACCTCCTGATCTGTGTCAAAACTCTGTGGCAGGCAGGCAGGCAGAATGAGATGCTTTGCCAGGCTCATCCAAGTCCAGCGAGAGCAGAGATGTGGTTGTTCAGAGGTTGGGAGACTGCATCTCCCACGGATCCTGTATTATTGGCTATGATGCTAGGGCTAATGGGTGCTGCAGCTGAAGGCCTTCTGGAGGGCCACACAGACTGTAGACATCACAGATGGTGGCAGAAGAGATGTGAGCAGAATCTCTCTGAAGAGCCGTGGGGGAGGAGGCATGAGGGTTATCCGGTGCCTATCCCCATGTCTTCCTTTTCTTTCTCTGTTCCACAGGGTGTGGGTGCACCAGCAGGGGCGCTCCTGGCTGGAGCCAGGGAATTCATCACTGAAGCGTGGCGTGTACGGAAGCTCCTCGGAGGTGGGATGCGCCAGGCAGGGGTCCTGGCAGCAGCTGCCCTTGTTGGGTTAAACCACGTAGAGGAAACACTGAAGAGAGATCATGACAATGCCAGACGCTTTGCCCAAGGTGCCCCTTCTTAGACACACAGGCCCACAGCTAATCCTCTCAGAGTAATTCACATTCCCTTTCCCTCATGGATGTCATGAGCTAAGACTAGAAGAAGGGAGAGTGGTCTTGCGGGTGCTGGATGGGAATCCTCCTTCAAATCATCATCAGTATTGTTGCTTCCTGAAGGGTGAGGCTGGAACGTCCTGCCAAGTTCCCCGTTTTCTGACCTCTGTAATTTTCCCTTCACAGGTGCCTCTGCTATTGCTTCCCCTCTTTGCTCCATAAATCTAGCCGCAGTGGAGACCAATATTCTCATGGTGAGGACATTATTGCCCTGGCTGACCCCTTCCAAGTTGTGTGAACTCATGGAGGCTGTGAGTGCTGAGGAGGTGGCTGCCACAGGCCAAGCCACGAGCGTGCGGCTCTTCCCGTGGGGAAAGCATTGCTTGCGTGCTGTCTGGCACTGCGACGTTTCCCCTCGCGACACACAGTTATCTGGAAACAAGTTGCGTTTTGTGCTGGACAAATGCAAGCAGCAATGATGCTCATCTGAAACCAGCTCATCTGAATTCATCGGAGACCAGAAGTAAATCTGCTGCTTGGCAGATGGATTCAGAACAAGCCAGGACATACTCTGAAGTAGAGTATGCTGGTCTCTGATTCTGTGGCGCTGGCCTCTTTGAAGCAGAGGTGGCTGAAGTCCATCTTTGGGAGAGGTTTGTGGTTCAGCATGGGTCCTGGTAGGATTAGGATTTCAGTCCTTGCCCTGGCTCAGCCACTCCTTCATCCCTCTTATGACTGCTGTGCCCTTTAGCTCCTCTTTAGGGCAGGATGTGCTTAGGGACCCACGCCCTGTCTTTTGCTCTCAAACAGAACTCAAACCACTCCAGGCTAAGTCAGAAATTGTAGACTTCCCACTGATCTCTTTCTTGTCCTCTTATAGCGTGGGTGTCCCTGCATCACCCTGCGTGTGGCCAAGCCCAAACCATTGGGGTCAGCTGTGGTAAAGGAGACTGGATTAGCTCCGGAAGCTGACAGCCTCACTTCCCAAACCATAAATAACCAGCTTCCCACCAAAGGAGCTACAGTCACTTTGTGAAATGACACAAATTCTACACAAAAGGAAGCACCAACATGGGCCCTCCTTTTCTCGAGAGAGTGGGCTTTGTTTCTTAAGGCTGCTCTGCCCCTACCAGCTGAGAGTCCCTTTGTTAGCTATAGTATGATTGTGTTGTGGCTGCAGAAATCCAGTATTTTCAGCCCAGATGGCCCCTCTGCACTCTGTATCTCTATGAGAACATCAACCAGAGTCTGGGAAGCAGGAAGTTAGCTGACATAAAAGCACAAGGCTGTGGCATGTAGTGGCAGCAGACATTCTAGAAGAATAATTAGGCCGTATGCAAAGTCCTGCTGCTTATGGCTTGCCTTCACAGCTTCTCACTTGTAAAGTATTGTGTCGACTGCTGAGCAGCAGAGAAAATACCTCACATGCCTTACAGGTGACTGAAGGGAATTTGTATTCAAGAACCAAGCAACATGCCTGCTTACTGGAGTCATTTATTTTGAGATGTCTTAGGTGTAAGTAACAAGGAAGAGCAACCGATGGTCATGCTGTGAGAAGGAGTATTAGCCATACATACCAAGAGGCAAGAGAAAAAGCTGCCGTTGCTACCGTTCCAGGAAGGGACCAAGGGCTGGTGGGTCCCCTCCTTCCCGTCTCTGCTCTTCTTGTGCAACAAGGCTTGAGGAACAGAAATCTAGACTCTTCTATTTGATCTATTCCATGGAAGTAACAAGCATGGATGGCAACAAACGGGCTGTAGGAACAGAACCTTCCTCCCCCTCCTCACATACCCCCCCCCCAGGAAAATGCTTCCATTCAGTAGCCCCAACCTTGTCTCCATAAAATTGGTTCATGCCTGTGTGTTAAGAATTGTGCAGTAGTAAGCAACAGCATCGGGAGTTCTCTGAAGAAACGTCCATGAAGGGACTGCTGTAGGGCGGGGGCCTCCACGGCATCCCTGGCAAGGCTGTAGCCCCTTTCTCAGAGATCAGATGGCCACTGAACCTCCATCTGGCCTCAGGTGGATCCCCCAAGCAGCCAGGAGAAGCAAGATGCCCGCCAGCCCCTCGGTGCCGAAGGAGAGCCAGGCGAGGGCCAAGGACCAGCCAAAGGCAACGTGGACGTGCTCAAAACGCTGTTGGTCAAACATACGCACTGCTTCAGTGAAGGCTGCCCGAGAATAGGAGATGTAGATGCTGGTCCCAGACAAAGTCAGCAGTGCTGTGTAGGAATCAAAAGAGGAGCAGGGATTGGAAGGGAGAAGGAGGAGAAGCTTATCAGTGGCTGGCTGGTTTAGGGGACACTGCCTCTGAGTTCAGACAGTTGAATCACCCTGCTAGCTAAATAGAGCCTCCCCTAAGCAAATAAGGCTGGCCTCATTGTTAGGCAGAATGAGGAAGTCACCTCAGGCAGCAGATTTGAGATGTCACAAAAGGACAGAAAACTGTTCCCTACTTCAATTTATCATTATTATTACTGTTGTTTCCCGGACAGGGCAGGGAGAGGCGCTTGTTTGACCTCTGCCTCCGATGCCCAGCCTAGTCCTTGGCTGATTTCAGTGGGCAGGAAAACATAACGCTTTTCCACCTCTGGCAGTGAAATATTTTGTGCGGGCCCTGAGAGATGGTAAGAGGAATAGGTAAGGGGCAAAGCCATCGAGAGAGGCCGTAGGTCTATATACACAGAATGTGTGGTTGGGGTGGGGACCAAGTGAGGTGGATGCAGAAGCTATCAACGTGCATTATTAACACTGGTAATTATGATGATCCACATCCTTTGAAAAAAGGCAAAGCATGTACCAGTCATTTATAAGGAAGTGTGTCTTGTTCCTGTCGTTGCTGTGAAAGGAATGTACTGAATGTAACTAATAAGGCAGCTCCTATCTCAAGTCTGCAGAAAACATGAGAGTGGCTAGAGGCTGCAAACGCTCTAATCAACCCTTCAACATAGCCTAGAATGGATAGCCTGTCCCTTGTGAGCCTCAGTTAATTGCTAAACAGTGGAACTGGCTCCTGGGAGTCTCACTTGGGTTGTTGCTCGCTTGGTGAGAGAATGCAGCTAAATGGCCAGTAGGAAACACCACACAGCACCGAAATCCAAAGTCCCAGAGCCTGCAAAGTGGCAGATATGCTCCCACATATGCAGAGGAAGCAAAGATTGTGCAAATAAAAATCCCTTTGTTGCCATGAGCAATTCATTTGTTGCAATGAGCAATGTTTTCTGTTTTAAAGAAGCCCATTTTAAAAGTCATTTTCATAGACATTCCCAGCTGAATTTTTCAGGGTTTCTATTGTTCTTTTTTATCTATCCTATGAGTTTTCCCCACAAAAATATGCTAATTAAAAAAAACAGCCAACAAAAGCAATATAATGAGTTAATTTTAAAAAATTGCAGTTGTGATGTTGCTTAGTATCCAGTATGGTGTAGCTGTTGCACTCATTTCACACGCTAGCAAGGTTATGCTCAAAATCCTCCAAGGTAGGCTTCAGCAGTATGTGGACCGAGAACCCCCAGAAGTACAAGCTGGATTTTGAAGGGGCAGAAGAACTAGAGACCAAATTGCTAACGTGCGCTGGATTATGGAGAAAGCCAGAGTGTTCCAGAAAACCATTTACTTCTGCTTCATTGACTATGCAAAAGCCTTTGACTGTGTGGACCACAACAAACTATGGCAAGTCCTTAAAGAAATGGGAGTGCCTGACCACCTTATCTATCTCCTGAGAAATCTATATGTGGAACAGGAAGCCACAGTTAGAACTGGTCATGGAACAACTGACTGGTTCAAAATTGGGAAAGGAGTACGACAAGGCTGTATATTGTCCCCCTGCTTATTCAACTTACATGCAGAATACATCATGCGAAAGGCTGAACTGGAGGAATTCCAGGCCGGAATCAAGATTGCCAGAAGAAATATCAACAACCTCCGATATGCAGATGCTACCACTCTGATGGCAGAAAGTGAGGAGGAATTAAGAAACCTAGTAATGAGAGTGAAAGAGGAGAGTGCAAAAAACGATCTGAAGCTCAATATTAAAAAAAACTAGGATCATGGCCACTGGTCCCATCACCTCCTGGGAAATAGAAGGGGACGATATGGAGGCAGTGACAGATTTTCCTTTCTTGGGCTTCATGATCACTGCAGATGGAGACAGCAGCCCCGAAATTAAAAGACACCTGCTTCTTGGGAGGAAAGGGATGACAAACCTTGACAGCATCTTAAAAAGCAGAGACATCACCTTGCCAACAAAAGTCCGTATAGTCAAAGCTATGGTTTTTCCTGTAGTGATGTATAGGAGTGAGAGCTGGACCATAAAGAAAACTGACTGCCAAAGAATTGATGCCTTTGAATTGTGGTGCTGGAGGAGGCTCTTGAGAGTTCCCTGGACTGCAAGGAGATCAAACCTAGCTGTTCTGAAGGAAATCAACCCTGAGTGCTCACTGGAAGGACAGATCCTGAAGCTGAGGCTCCAGTACTTTGGCCATCTCATGAGAAGAGAAGACTCCTTGGAAAAGACCTTGATGTTGGGAAAGTATGAGGGCAAGAGGAGAAGGGGATGACAGAGGATGAGATGGTTGGACAGTGTCATTGAAGAGACCGACATGAATTTGACCCAACTCCAGGAAGCAGTGGAAGAGAGGAAAGGCCTGGTGTGCTCTGGTCCATGGGGTCACGAAGAGTTGGACACGACTAAACGACAACAACGATGGCGTAGCTGTAGGAGACAGAGTGATAGACTCAGTCTGGGTATGCTTAGCCTTGAGAAAAGAAGACTGAGGGGAGTTAACGATGGCACTTTTCAAATATTTGAAAGGCTGTCATATAGAGGAGGGGCAGGCGCTGTTCTCGATCCTCCCAGAGTGAAGGACACACAACAATGGGCTCAAGTTACAGGAAGCCAGATTTCGGTTGAATATCAGGAAAAACTTCCTAACTGTTAGAGCAGCGCGGCAGTGGGACCAGTTACCTTGTGAGTTGGCGAGTGCTCAAACACTGGAGGCTTTCAAGAGAAAACTGGGCAATCAGCCATGGGGGACCATGGAACCAATCTCCTGGGGATGTAGGTGACCTACTGTATATATATATTTTTGGGGGGGTTCTTTTAATATTTCTGATATTCTCAGACTCTGGACAAGTGAATCAGCTTGAATAAGAGGGTCCCAAGGGTAGGAATCTGCTGCTCTGGATAAAAGTGTCCATCAGCACTTTAAAACCCTTGAAATATTTTATATAGCATAATCTCTTGTGGACTGCAGCCCATTTCATCACAATGCATAAAGGGTTGCCTCCATTGGACTAGCAACATATTTGGGTAATGACTTAAAATTTAACTCGAAAAAATCAGGGGGAAATTGAACTCTTTAATACTGTATGGTCAGTATTCTACTGTTACTGTTACTAGAAATGACCCTATGGATAATCTACTATTTCTATTACTATTATTATTAAAATGACCCTATGGATAATCAAGTCCAGTCCCTCAAAGAAGCACAACCTCTGACTCTGCAGTCAGATGCCTAAACCACTGAGCGACCCAGCAAATATTCTTACATCAAATCATCATACTACAGTATACGTTTTGAGCAAACTAAAACATGTTCTCAGAAAGCATCTTGCTCATTGCAAAAACAAAAGTATTTCATAACATTGCCTTTTGGAAGATGTGTCACCAGCAAGACAGAAAGGGTGAATAAGGCTCCTGACCAACAGAAGGTTGACAGCCTCCTCCAAGTGTCCATGAAAAGGAGGGAGGAAAACAGGTCTAGAATTATTAAGGAGAGAAAATGCCATTCCCATGGCAACAAAAGCCCTGGTCACTGCGCAAATGACCCCAAATAGGCATACAGTATTCACGCTTGCTTTGTTCTAGCCACCTGGCAACTAGAAACAACACATGTTCAGCCAAATGCTTCTCAGGAGTAGAATCTGGGCAGATATTCAGTAGCCTTCTGCCAAGCGTGGCACATCTGGGACACCGCTCAAAGAGGTTTCTCACACGCACATCCACAGATTCGCTTACCACCCAACAGAAGATAGCAGCCAGTGATCCGCAGAAGGCGGGAACTCCTAACCAAAGAACTGATGATCCCGCAGATCCAGCCAAAAACGATCAAGATGAGGCTGAGCGGCAGCAGAACCACAAAGGCCCGGTGCATGCCTGGCAGGGAGACAGGAGGGCCAGATGATGGGAGAGTAACAGGACTCGGGCTGTGCTTTGTGAGCCAGACGACGTGAATGCCGGGGTCATTTCAGATTGGCCCCTAAAGGCCTGTGATATTTTAAAGGGGCCTGTGATATTTTAAGGCTTTTAAAATTCTACACTGCAGACACAAAACACCCAATACAAACGTGCATTTTAAAGCTGAGAAAAGTTACTGTATTTGAGGATGAGCCGTGCAGGGTAGGGATGCTGGGAACTTTGTATGAGTCACTTTTCCCAGCTGTTTTCTTACTACGGTATACTGTAAATTCATTCACAGAAACTGCCACCTAGCATCTGCTCTGATCTCCAGCAAGGTGGACTGGTTACAGAAGACCAGACTCATTCTAGAGACGGACGAAAGAGGCCACCCTAACCCTCCCCATCACCATTCCCTACTTACATAGAAGGTGCTGGAGCGAAGCTGGAGCTTGCCGACTCTCTGCGCTGAAGGGATCGATCAGAGGCACGCAGGCATTCCGCCCTAGGGAAGCAACAATGGGGTGGGGGACAATATGTGGCTGGCCCAGCAGTGGAAGCGATGCTAGAAAGGGGTTCATCCAGGCAGAAATATTCTGCAACTCTTGACCATATACTGTATATATATGCCAGCCTTATGACAGCCTTTCAAATATATTTTCTGGCACTTTTCAGAAACAAAAAGGTGTTGCTTATTAAACTTACAGCATTAGCATCAAGTGCTCTTCTATGAGGTGATGCCTGGGAGCATTTTTGTCTGTTATATGGGAGGAAGGGCTTGGGAGGAAGCAAAGGTTAACCTGATACTTCGCTCCACGACTCAAAGCAGTTGGCTGACAGAACTTCCCTCTGCCTTGTGTCAGCCTCAGAGCAGCTGCTTCACTCCCCTTATTCGCTGCCTTTCCAAAGGGCCTCGGGGACTGGTTTCTGACAAGGAGGAGGAATAACCGAGCATTGGGGGGGGGGGAGGCAGGAGTCCACCGCTCGAGGGCAGGAGGCAAAAACGGGCCGTCCCTTTGTGATGTTTAGCAGACTCGAGAACTTGGGTCTGTCCTTCCCTCCCCGCCGCGCCAAGGGGGTCTGTGCTCAGCAGGAGATCCAGCTGCCCGTCCTCCCCCTCCCCGAAGTTTCCAAAAGGCAGGAAGAGCGGGCGCCGCCGGGGCAAGGCGGCCGGTCACTCAGGAGGATGCCCGAAAGGGCCCTTCGGACCGAAATCCAGCTCTCTCGTCTCCCTCGCCCGGCGGAGTCCCACTGGAAGCGGCCGCCCCGCTGAGAGGGCAGAAGAAGAGCCCCCCCTCCCTCTCTCTCCACCCGCGTCCCTCGTGATTTCCACACGTATCCTCCCGCCACGCGGGCACACGGGGCTTGCTCTCCCCTTGGCTTCCCTTCCTTAGACGTCGCCCTCACTTGCCCCCCTCGGGCTCTTCCTTCTTTTCCCGACAATGAATGGACTTTGCCCGCGAGTCCCTCAGAAATGTTGGGGACCCCTGGGGAAGACCTCAGCAGGGGGGCACCGCATTCCATAGCGCCCCCATCCCCCTCTCTTCGAGGGAGGCGAGGAGAGCAGAGACGGGGGGGGGGGAACACAAGGTCAGGACGCTGGAAGGCAGGCACAGCGACCTGTCGGCGCGGGAAGAGGGCGCGCACACACACACCCCTTAGCCCGCCCGCTCTAGGAGAAGGCGGCGGGGGCGGCGGCGCCCCCCCCTTGGCTAGTCCCCGGCCCTCCCGGCACCTAACAGGGGAGTGGAGCTTTCCTCCCAGCTGGAGGGTCGCGCAGGAGACGGGAAGCCACCACTCCGGGCGTGGACGGAAGGGAGCCGCTCCCCGGGTGCCGGGAAGGGGGGCGCCTGCCTAGCCGTAGCCGCCGCCGCCGCCCTCTCCCGCCCTCCGGCCCGCCTTACCTTCGCAGAGATGCCAGAGTCCCGAGTGAGAGCTCAGCTCCTCGGCCTCCCAAGCGCTCCGGTTGCCCCCGGCGGGCAGGTCCACGCGGACCAAGTACCAGTAGTCGGTGCCGATGGCCGCGGCCAGGAGGACGAAGCTCAAGACCCCGCTCAGCGCGGCGCCCCAGCAGAGCCTGCCGGCAGGCACCGCCCTCGGGCAGCCCGGCAGG